GCGATGCGGCGCGATAGGTCAAGTATGAGGGGGCTCGGGACGCCCAACAGTCAGCACTGCTCAAGTGGACGGGTGCCGCGGGTGCATGCGGATGCGATCACGCCTGGCCAAGGCAGCGCCGCAGCTCAGCACCACCACACCAAGACCGCACACACCACACCACACCACCCCTCTGAGATAGCGGCCAGCAACGCGCAAGCAGCCTCGAGAGCTGAACAGCTGGTTGTGGCTTGGCGGGTCCATCTCGGGGCCTGTGGTGGAGTCGTCAGTCCCAATGCGGGGGCTCAGGGATAAGCTCGACCGGTGCCAGGGCGGCGCTGCAGGTGGTCAGGCGAATGAGAGAACGTCAAGATGCCACGAGCTACACTTTGATGGTCTACGCCCACCCGGCTCGTTCGCCGTTTGTTTGGTAGCCCTTTCTGCATTTCATCACGGCTCGAGGTGTTCCCCAAGTGTTCTGTGTACTAAGCTCCAACAAGCTTCCACGTGCGTCCATACACACCTCCAAATCGATCCCGACTCGCCCGACTCCGGCTGATCCCGACTTCCATGTTCGCCAGCGCCGACTCTCCTCCAGGTCTGAGACCTTCGATTGACGCTGATTGACCCTAGACGTGGCGTGTCCCGATGGCCTGCCAACAGATTGCCGCTCTTTGATTCTCCTGCGCCAGGCGGTTTCGTTCGGAAGTGCCTTGGTGTCGAGGAACCATTGGTGATATCTCAAGCAGAAATGCCTCGCGAATAGCTGAAGGATATAGGCGCTGAAGTGATGTCACTGACCGAACCCCGATAGTCTCAGACTAATCCGTTCTGTTTCAATGCTTTCTGGATTTCCTCGGATTTCTGTGGGAGATGGCGAGTGGGTAAGCAATAATCATTTCATTAAATTGTGGTATCGAGATGTGCTTGTTGGAATCGCTCCTCATGTCGGCGGTTCGTTCTGAGACTCGGCCAGACTGGACACCGCAGTAGTGTAATGTGTCATCGCTACATGATCTTTGTGACCTCATCCTCAACCTAGACAAAAGAAATGGATCAGTGGGCGAGACCAAGATAGGCTGAAGGCAATTATTCAAGATTGGGCAGGGTGTGGACAAGGTCCCTGGGGGCGTGGGCTGCTGTCGTGGTGCCGAACAATGGTAGAGAAGACCTTACCTCCATGTCCTCCAACGAATCCTGCTGGCCTATACACCGCAGAACGTTCTTTTTGCTGCTCTCCTGCAGCTCTCCGGCTAGTAATATCTCGTCGAGGATGTAGTAGGCTTTCGTGAATGAGAAAATGATGTCCAGCTCGCAGACATTGCCGTAGTATTTGTCCATTTGCTCGACGTATCGGTGGATGACCTCGAGGGTGATGAGTTCGTTGTCGTCGGAATCGCAGCCGCCGATGAAGAAGAGGGACGCATATCGCCGGTACACGATCTTGGTATCTATGACGCGTTTCAGGTCAGAGAAGTGCTTGAACCAGACTTGCGTAGCTGGGAAGCGAACCTTTGTATTCAAGGAAGTTGCACATGCGGGTACGGCGGGCCAGGACCAGCTGAGAGACGTCTTTGACGATCTTGGCCTTCTCCCTCGGCGAAAGGGTGGTGAACCATTTCGCAAGTCTCTGTGGGCAAATCGAGCGCCGTCAGTGAGAGGTCTGGTCTTCGATGGCGATGGACAAAATTGGGCTGTCGCGTGCTGTCGAGATAGAGGTGAGGGGGCCGGGAGAACTCACCACCTTGCCTTGCCGCGATAGTAGAATCAGGTAGCTGAGGCAGCATTGTCAGCAGGTGCTTGTGAGGGTTGCGCTGGGCGGAGGCTTACTTGATGGCCATGCTGCGCTATACTTCTGCATCACCAGGACGCAGGCAGTTGTCGGCGGCAGGGAAGATGGAGTGGGAAACGCAAAAATGAGTGCTCAGCGGAGTGGACAAGGTGGTCCGGAGCGTGCGGCGCGGTGGTGAGCATCAATCAGCCTGCAGCAACACAAGGTCAGTGGGCAAGTGGGGTCGGCCACGACCGAGGACACCAATCACGGGTCTTCACCAATCACAGGGCCCAAGTCCACTCGAACCTCCCCCTTTCAACGACATGCATCTCCCCAAGCTTGGGAGAACTTCCATCTCCCCGGGATCTCATACATTTGCATGTTTTGTTGATGTCATCCCAAATGATAGATTCTTGCCCAGGGTGACTGCAGAGCGACCCGATTATACTTTCATATCTACCGCTCTCAACGCATTTGTGACTTCCAGAGTAGAGGGAAACCCGAGGACGGCAACGCTGAAGAGAGGCCCTCCTCGTGCTATTTGTCTAAGTCTGTCTCCCGAGCAGTAACAGAACACATTGGAGAGCAGACCATGAGTAGTGAATCTGAGCCTAATCTCAAGTTACAACAGTATGGATATGCCATATATCGTATTTGAGATTCGTAAAACCGGGCCGCTTGGCCGACAAGAAGGCCAGTGAAATTATTCCCTATGCTCATGAAGATTATGGGAGCTTCTTGTTTTATTTTTGGATCTAGAGAGCGGCGCTGTGGAATTTACATAGTCAGAACTAGATATCTCTTGTGCCCGTCAAGGCCCTCCATCGTCCACTGCTACAGTGCCCAACAGTTAGGCACGTGAATAGCGACCCGATGGCTGCTGGCAACAGACAGTATGACCCTGCAAGCCATCAAAATGAACAGATCCCTTTCCTGACTATAGATGACATTGATACGAGAGTTCTTTGCGTTTCATAGATGAGTATCAAAATCTACTAGGGTCGTGATACCAGAAAGTACTTCAGGACAAGTCTAGGGAATGTCCGAAACCCGCAAGCCAGGAACTTGATATCGACTCGCAAGGTCCAGTTCAGCCCAGCACTAGATTTTGTTTGACGGGAAGTATCTTGCTCTCATTGGACATGGAAGTCCTTGTTTTCGTGTTGCTGCTTTCTTCAAGCCTGCTCTGTCGGGACCCCTCATATCCAACTGTACTTCATCATTGAGCTGTCTTCCAGGCCCTTTATGCATTCAAGGGTTGGAAAAATGCACAATCAGCTCAAACAAGGCTCTCGCTAACAACTTAAATTGGCTTTGTGATGTACACGGAGAGATTTTAAGTGATCTGTTGCCTGTGCAGCTGCACGCAACGGAGTCACCCGTGGATCCCAAGCGCAAACGAGGCAACAAGGTTGCCAGGGCACCACGCAGCCATCTTCTGCGCCTCTTCTTGTCTGCAAACTTTTACCTGGGCTCCCCGCAGACTCCCGCTTCTTTTTCCTCCCGGACGTCCCTCTAAGTCTACTGTACTCCTCACAACAACCATCGCCACCCTCGTGCGACCGCCCTTACACAGTTCTACAACTCGGCCTCTTCATCACACTCACAGCTTCTCTACCCCTTGTGGTGCACCAAGAACGTCTGAACGCTGTCCATCACACCGAAGAACATTTGTAGGCACCAATTTGTCCTGTCCCACCCGTTTATACCGTCGGTATTCCCCGGTAGACAAGCATTCCCTCATGCATTGCCCTCTCCACGGTGACAACAGCCAGGCCATCAACTCCTTGTCAAGCTCACAACCTCTAGTCGATAGCATGCTTTGGTGTGGAAGGCAAAACGTTTGGTCCTTCGCTGAGCTTCTACACATATTGTCCCAAATCCCCGTCTATTCCCCGCTACTGTCACAATCATCTCATCACCACCTCACCTCCTCTTCACAATACGGTTCTTATGCTACTTCGATCCATCTACAGCTGTGGACTTTCGAGCACGCCTTGTAAAACATATCACCAACCTGCCACCGATACACTGACATAATTACAGCCAGAATGTTGTGGGAGAGCACCACCAACACCGCTTCCACATGGGAGGCGCCCCAGGCCGGCGTATCGACAGCTTGGAGCACAGGTGACACCGGTGGCGGTGCCGCTTGGCCGCACGACGAGATACTGAGTGCTAGCCCCCACGAGGACCCTTCGTCGCACGACGCAAGCCAGTCAAACCAAGAGACGGACGACCGCGGCTGCTTCAACTGTAGAGAGCACGGGTAAGAGCAGGGCCATACGAGCAGGGCCATTCCCATACTACATCGATCCCACTAACACTGCGTACTACCAGACAGATGAAATCCGAATGTCCAAACCCTCGCGTCGAGCGGGAGTTCACAGGACAGTGCAACCTGTGCCAACGCGAAGGACACCGGGCGAAAGACTGTCCGGAAAAGCCGCCAATGGTCTGCCGCAACTGTGACAGCGAAGGTATGTACGGCGGAGTGAAAATGATCAACTGCATCAGCTGACAACCCTCTTCCTGCAGGTCATGCTGCAGTTGATTGCAAAGCACCTCGCAAGATTGACAGATCCGCAATCGAGTCGGTCGACTCTGACACAGCGTGGACTCACATCAAGCAAGCAGTCTCAGAGAAAGACCTGGACAACGCGAAGCTCGCCGTCCAGCAATATGTCAAGGCAAGCCCGCAGACCACATATGCGGAACTCGAGAAAGCATTTCGTAACCAACAGATTGGCCTATACCTGGTGGCGATTGAGAAACCGGATCTCATCTTCACACTTACACTCATGGACTTGCAAGGCCACTGCGACAAGAAGTACACGGTGAGCTATCGATTCAGTGGCAAGCCAGCTCGGCCTCGCGAAAGAGCCTTGTTTCCAAAGGACGATGCCGAGAACCAGGAGCGTCTTCAAGATGCCGGCGAGCCCGTCCCTAGCGGCAAGCGCAAGTGCTTCAACTGTCAAGAAATCGGTCACTCCTCATCAGCCTGCCCCGAGATGAAAATTGAGAAGGAGCAGCCTGTCATCAAGTGCGTCAACTGTGAGGGAGTGGGACATCGAATGAGAGACTGTGAGTTCCTGTCCTCCGTGGTTGCTGGTTGGTGAAAGTGGCAACCATTAACAGCCACTCACAGGTCCTGAGGAACGTGTCGACAAGTTCGCTCGAGAGAAAGGTTCCGGAGGTCAGTACAGATATAACGACGTTCTTCTTCCCATCGGACCAATCAGCGTTCGGCCGGTTGGCGCAATGGTAGCGCGTTGCTTTCCGGCGAGTCTCAGTTCATGAGATCTTGTTTGGCAAAGGTTGCGGGTTCGAGTCCCGTGCTGGTCGACCTACCTTTTTGCCTCCGTGTCCTCGCAGCGGAGGAGCACCATTATTGTTTTGTTGAAATGCTCATCTTGATACTAACGACACTCGACCGTAGGTGCTGACGACGTGGATTGCCGCAAATGTGGCGAAGGTATGTGCCTATAATTTTTCTCGCTCTTTGTCACCGGAAGCCAGACTATTTATATCTAACCTTATGACGCACTCGCTTTCGCTTCTCCAGTCGGACATTTCGCTCGCGATTGTCCCCAGGGCGGCGGCGACTCTCGTGCGTGTCGCAGATGTGGAGAAGGTTCGTATTGTCCAATGCTCATGACCAGCCTCTCTCGGTGACTTGAGTTGTCGTTAACCTTGATCGCGACGAAGACGATCACATGGCCCGTGACTGTCCAACAGGAGGCGATACAAGAGACTGCCGCAAATGTGGCGAGCGTAAGTCTGCTTCCCACGTCCAAGTAAGGCTGGTGAGAGATAGCTAAATCAAGGCATAATCAGTCGGGCACATCGCCAGGGATTGTCCGCAAGGCGGCGGTGGTGATCCTCGAAACTGCTTCAAGTGCAACCAGGGTAAGTCGTTCTCTGTCGAACCTCCGTGATTGGCTACTAACATACACCGTTCACGCAGAGGGCCACATTGCGAGAGATTGTCCTTCTGCACAAGAGAGTAAGTCTTGTCGATTTCCTAAAGTCCCAGGGTCAATGCATGCTCACACTTTTCAAACCAGGTTCTGCGGACGCTCATGATCAACCCTACACCACAGAGTCCAGCTTCGCAGCGCAGACTCACGACAACCAATTCACGCCACAAGACACAGCTCAGATCGCTGGATGGACTTCGGCAGCCACAGGTTCAAACGATAACGATGCCTGGAACCCAACCCCATCCAGCGGAGGAGCAAGAGCAGGAGTATGGTAGGCTAATGGTGGTTGCCTGCAGACACACTTGCACGATATTAAGGGTTCAGTTGGACGGAATGGAGAAGCCTGCGGTACAGACCTTTGGTATTGTGACACCTCGACACGGGCGTACTGGACTTATGCCGGGCGAGACCCAGCCAGATATGGAGAATCGCTGATGCCTGAAAGTAACACGCTCGCATTTGAAGAGTACTAGATTTCGCATCCAAAAGTCAGACATCAGAAATCAGTCGATAAGGCTAAATAGTACGCGTTGTGGCCTTTCCACGAGATAGTTCAGAATGGTTGTTTGCGACACAAGGTTGTCGATGTGATATTTGGTTTCAACGACCAAAAATAAGGGGTCCGGATCGAACAATGAAGGTTCCCGTGGTAGTGTTCTAATGGTGGATGCGCCCCACGCCACCTTCCCTGCTTGACGCCTGTTGCCCCTCCCCCCAGGGACGGCATAACAACCAGGCAGCTCTGACGTATCACCTAGATTGGCGCCCGCGATAGCTTCACCTAGCTCCTCCCCCACCACCAGGCAACCCAATCTTGACCTCAAAGTGCTCAGCCCGTGAAACGGACTAAACTTTGTGGAAATCTCAACCTTTGAGTCTCTCGAATATTCATCAATCCATGCCAGACAGTTTCCTGCCTCGACAATGTCTGTAGCTATCGACAAAATTCTCGCCGCTGCTCCCGTCACGGCTCGGGGACAGCCTACCCAACTCTCTACGGATGCGAAAGGCGAGCGGATAGCTTACGCTGTAAGTGCCACCCGGGCACGTCATCGCCATGGCGTCACTTTTACAGTCGGCTGATATCGTTGGGTATGACTATGCAGTCCGGCAAATCGATCTTTGTACGATCCATCGACAACCCATCCGAGTGCAAGCAGTACACGAACCACACCGCCCAGACCACCGTAGCTCGATTCTCGCCGAGCGGCTTCTATATCGCCAGTGGAGATGTGTCCGGTGCCGTCAAGGTCTGGGACTCGCTGGAAGCTGTGAACACAAAAGGTCCGTGTGCAGGTGCATCCTCATCATCAGCGGGAGTCGAGCAAAGCAACTGATACTTTGCCCCGGAGAACAGGAGAGTACCACATTATATCAGGCCGAATCAACGACATCGCCTGGGATGGCGACTCACAGCGCATCATCGCCGTCGGCGATGGCCGTGAGCGGTTCGGACACTGCATCACAGCTGACAGCGGCAACAGCGTGGGCGAGATCTCGGGCCACTCGAAGGTCATCAACGCCGTGGCCATGCGGGCCTCGCGTCCGTTCCGTGCAGTCACTGTCAGCGACGACATGACTGTATGCTTCCTGCACGGCGCCCCGTTCAAGTTCAACTCCAAGTCAAACGAGCACAAGGGCTTCGTCATGGGCGCGGCATACTCGCCTGACGGCAACACTTTTGTCACTGTCGGTGCCGACAAGAGAATTCAGCTTTACGACGGCAAGACGGGCGAGCCCACGCGGAGCATAGGCGAGGGTGAGCACACTGGTAGCATCTTTGCGGTTAGCTGGTCGCAGGACTCGAAGCGTTTCGTTACAGCCAGCGCCGACCAGACGGTCAAGCTGTGGGATGTTGAGTCTGGCAAGGTCACACAGTCGTGGAGATTCGGTGGTGACGGGGTCAGTGTGCAGGATCAGCAGGTCGGCGTCGTCTTCCCGCACGGCCGCAGCGACGGCCTGATCATCAGCCTGAACCTCAACGGTGACCTCAGCTACCTCAAGGAGGGCAGTGCCGAGCCCGTCAAGATCGTGCAGGGCCACAACAAGGCCATCACCGCGCTCGGCGCTGGCTCCGACGGCAACGGCGACAAGCTGTGGACGGGCAGCTTCGACGGCAAAGTGTGCTCGTGGGACGTCTCCTCAGGTGTGGGCACTGCCGTAGACGGTCAGACTCACACGAACCAGGTCGTCCAGTTCGGTTCGAGCTCTGGCAGGGCGTACAGTGTCGGCTGGGACGATACGCTACGCATCGTCGACGAGTCGGCCAACACGTTTGCCGGTGACAGTACGAAGCTCGCGGCGCAGCCCAAGGGTGTCGCCTCTGCCGAAGGCCGTGTATACATCGCCACTGGTTCCGGAATCGAGATCTACGAGAAGGACCAGCTCGCCGGCCAGGTCGCCATCTCTGGCGGAGAACCCACCTCCATCGCTGCTCTCGGCTCGTACGTCGCGGTCGGCACTAGCTTCAACGTCGTGCAGCTCTACAAGGCCGAGGGCGGCGGCAGCAAGCTCACACTGGCCGCCGAGGCCAAGAACAGCCTCGCCCAGATCTCCGCGCTGGCCTTCTCCAGGGACGGCTCGCACTTGGCGGCCGGCGCCTCGAACGGCAAGATCTACGCGTACAAGGTATCCTCAGGGAGCCTCGACCTCGCGACGGACCGCTGGTCCTCGCACACGGGTCGCGTCACGAGCATCGCATGGAACGAGGCCGGCACCCACGCGGCCAGCGGCGCGCTCGACACGAACGTCTTTGTGTGGTCGCTCGCGAAGCCCGGCAGCCGCGTCAAGGCGCTCAACGCGCACAAGGACGGCGTGTACGGCGTCGCGTGGGTCGCCGGCGGCAAGGTCGCGTCCACTGGCGGTGACGCTGCGATCAAGATCTGGGCTCCGTCGGGGCTGCAGTGAGACATGTCGCTGCTAGCTGGAGAAGGTGGAAAGTGACGGCAGCGCTGGACATATCGAGCGCCTTATGGCATATAAAGCGAGTAACATTTGAGTCGTCTTGATCCTGTGGCATGTAAGACTTCGTTGTGAATACACACTCGATAGCAAGATTGTGAATGATGGATCTTAGAGCATGACGCCACAACGGATCGCACGCAAGCTACAAGTTGAACACGCCGTGTAGCACATTGCAATCATCTTGGGTTTGAGTTCTTCTGCTGTAAAGCGTCGGCATTCGCTCTGAGCTTGTCTTTCCGACAGCGGAGCTCCGACTTTGTCGTTCTTCGGGGCGAACTGGACGTAAACTTCTTTTTGTTTTTCGATGCTGGAATTTCATGTCTCTGCCGTCTTGGCCAGGTACTCCTGCCGGTAAACAAACATTCCACCCCTATATATGACTTTGCCTTTTTCCCCAACCGTCCTACAATTTCTCCGACGTGGCCATCAAGCTTCCTGTAGAAATAGTTAGCGCATCTAGAAGCCGGATCTGAAGATCTTCCGTAGTTTCACGCGGCAAAGTGGAAATGGAAACGTACCAATGAAAGTAGTGATGAGCCTGCTGCGAACAGCGCAGATGTCCTCGGGAACGAGCCAGATGGTGGCGCCCATCTTTCTGGCGATGCTGATGCTGAGCTTGGCGTTGAGGTAGGCATCCTCGTCGGTGCGGCCGTCCGTGACGAGGTCGTAGTCGACGTAGCTGCTCTTCATGCCATTGAGGACGTCAAGCAGGAAGACACCGGATGCGAGGGCCGGGTCCTTCATCGAGCGGACCGATGAATTGCGGCCACCCTTGCGAGACATGTCGTTGGCCCACTTGACCATCTCGGCATCCGTCATCTCCCGCTTGCCGAGCTTCTGTGCGAGCGCGGAGAGCGTTATGGTGATGTCCCTCCTCATCAGCTGCCAGACCAGACCCAGAGTCAGGGTCTTCTGGCCGTCTGTGATATCGGCACCCTGGATACCAACTAGCGAGAAGCCGTTCTGCTTGCCCAGCTCGATGGCGTAGTTCGTGTTCTCGACAGCCTTGAACCTCATGACCTCATTGCCGCTGGCAGGCCGTTTGTTGACATGCCGCCAGTTGACAGAGCCCTTGATGACCTTGTCATAGGCCTGAAGGAGGAGAGTGCCGTCGCGGAGATCGTCGAAGAAGGACACGACGGCTGGTTGTACGTCCAGACTGTTGAGCCACAAAGTGAACACTCTAGCCTCGCGCTCGCCCTCAGCATCGAAGTCTTCCACTTCCTGCTTCTCCTCTTCTGTAATAGGTTCCAGGCACGGGTGGGTGTTGAACAGATTGGCCACGAATGCGAGATTGAGCTTCGGGTTTCCGGCCACGAGCGAAGTCGGCGTCAGGAACTTTCTGCAGCCCAGCTTGTCGGAGTTGTCCAGTACCTGCTCAGCGCGCTGCAGGAGATC